GAAACCCAGACTTCAACTTAACCGTCACTGCTGGAAATTATTGAATTTCCGACCATCTGAAAGTGATCTTAAATCAAGTCGAAAGCAAAAAGTGGTTAGAAATAGCAACAAAGGTTTTTCCGGATACCAAAAGTGGTCGGAACAAGACTTTTGACTTGATTTAAGATCACTTTCATGTGGTCGGAAATTCCATAATTTCCAGTAGTGCGCTACATGTATTTCAGTTGGTACTCAGGTGATAGTATAAATTATGGGCAAGCTAAGGACGCGGGGTTGAAACTTGACAGTCATAGTGTGAGAGTTACACTTAATGTAGTGGACTCTTCGTGGGCACCAAGTACTGACCCTCGCACTTAAATAGGAGTTGAGTCACCGTGATTTAACTCTCCGACTACCATCTTGTCATGCGAGATATGAGACCGTTGGAATGAGAAATTTTGCCTTTTTGTGGACAATTCAAAGACTTAAAAGCTTATATGCCATCATTCATCTATATATACATTATAATTGGAAGTGTTACTTCCATTACAAATGACTACACTTAATGGCTTAATTAATCTTACACCAAAATTCTAAATAAAAGTGTTACAACCACCTCATCACATATTGTTCTAAGTTGCCAGCACCATATCATATATACACTTCGCCACACCATTATCAACATATCATACACTTGGAACATCATCCATATTATGTGAACTACATATGTCATATAATCATTATTATGTCATAATTCTTTAAAAAATAAGGGGGGTTTGGAAAATAATGGATTTGCTAATTTTTTTTATGGATTTATCTTACTTTAGTAGTTTGACTTAGTCAACCCATTTTTATCAATTTTTTTTTTTGTATTTAATTATTACATAGACTGCAAGCACTTTATGCTCAGATGACATGTAGTGACTCTCCCATATGGGAGTCATGAGACCGAGCCTCAATGTAGGCCTTGTTGACTCTTTGTGCTTCAACAGGTTAAGAAAATATGTTTGAACAGATACTACAATGTAACAGAATTCTGCACTATATGTTTACTTACTTCCTTGTATCCCAATGGGTCCAATGGGTCACCCATCATGTGACTGTTGTAAGTCAAGCACGCTTAACTACAAAGTTCTTTAGCTATATGTTGTCACATTCTACTTAAAATCAATTGGTGATAAATAGGTAGACATTAATCATATGTGACTGTTGTAAGTCAAGCACGCTTAACTACAAAGTTCTTTAGGTATCTGTTGCCACATCCTACTTAAAATCAATTGGTGATAAATAGGTAAACATTAATCATTTAAGAGCCACGTCGCAAATCGAGTAAGGACTGAACTCGGCCAACGCCCAACATCTTTATTATCATTTTTTGGATAATGAAGAAAATCGCGCACTGTCACTTTGTGAGGGTCTGCATAGTAGAAGTAAATTGCGCTAGGAAGGCCTTATGCGACATGTTCAACTGAGATGGTGATATAAGAATTATACTCCACCCACTTGATTATTCATCTCGGGGCTACATAGATTATTTATTAACTCTTGAAGAAGTTCCTTTCAAAATAAAAATAAAAATCTTGAAGAAGTTGACTAATATAATTTATGGGTAGCTAACGAAAATAAAGATTTTTTTTTTAGGACACAAGTTACAATACCATTTAGATACTAATTATAGCAATGAAAAAATAGCATTTTTCTTGCATATTAGATAAATTGATTTATGATTTGAACTAATTAGGACACCTAAATAAGAGTATATTCGAGTGATTCTGTGCGTAATTAATAAGATATTATGATTAGATGGCTTACTTGGTTATTATTAAACAATTGTTATCTTTTAGGCACTAGTCATTAGTTTCACTTAAAGGGTGTTTGGTTGGAGGGATTTTAAATTCTCTTCCCACTTAATTCCCACATAATTTCAAAGACCATTAAATTCCGTAGTTTGGTTGGAGGGAATTGCAATTCCCCCATTTTCATGGAATTAAAATCCCAGGTCCCCCCTGGTATTTTAATTCCTGGGAAAAAAAAAGATAGTGATGAGTCAAAATTACCCCTTCCTTTTTTAACCTAAAATTAATGTCTAACAACAATAATGGACATTTTTGACTTTATATTACTTATTCCCTTTCAATTCCCATGTATACCAAACATTGGAATTGAAATTCCCAGTAATTTTATTCCTGTCAACCAAACACTGGAATTTAAATTCTCACTTTATTCCTAATAATTCAACTCCCATGGAATTACAGTTCTTTTCCCACATAATTCCATCCCTCCAATCAAACGCCCTGTAAAGATATTATTGAGTCACCGTGATTTACCTCTCCACCATCTTATTGAGTCTGGCCGTCTGGATATAAGAACATTTTGGAGCAATGAATTTTGTTTTTTGTGGACAAAATATTATGATTATGTTTAGGGGAATGCTACATATCCCTCGGAAGGGAAAATAAGGGAGGAAAAAATAAGCATTTTCCTTATAATTAATAACATAAGAAAATATATAATTACATTTACATAGTTAATTGGAATTAATTGAAAATTAATAAGAAGTTTTAATTAGAGTTAATTTCAGGAATGACCACTTGACTATTGATAATTATCAATTTTTATCATTTGACTTTTAGTTGGACCATAAATGGTTCTGACTATTGATCTTTACCAACTTTCGTCCTGGACTTTCAATATGACCATATATGGTCTATTGATTATTGATTTTGTTTCAAATTTAATCTTTCAGTTAAATGTCCATTTAATAAACATTGAATTTAAGAATAATAATGTAAAAATTAATACATTGAGATGCACAAATTGAGCTCATAACTTTAATACATTGAGTTTATCATTGTGAAGAACTAAAATCGTTACATTATTACTCTTAAATTTAATGTTTATTAAAATGATATTTAACTAGAGGACCAAATTTGGGAAAAAAAATCAATAGTCAAGGGACCACTTATGTTTAAATTGAAAGTCGGCAAATTATGCTGTGCATCCGTATGCACCATGCATGGTGCATACGGATGCAAAAACGACGTCGTTTTAATAAAACGCGCGTCTCCCCTTAAAAAAAAAAAATCAGGTTCGATTCCCAACAACAACATATGAACTAAAATTCCATAATCGATGAACTATAATTCTATAATCGATGAACTATAATTCCATAATCTAATCTATGAACTAAAAATTCCAGAATGAATGAACTAAAATTCCATAATCTATAAACTAAAATTTCAGAATCGATGAACTACAATTCCATAATCGATGAACTATAATTCCATAATCAATGAACTATAATTCCATAATCTATGAACTAAAATTCCAGAATGAATGAACAATATAATATTGTTGCTGGAAATCGAACCTGAATTTTTTTTAAAGGGGAGACGCGCATTTTTTAATAAAACGACGTCGTTTTGGCATCCGTATGCATCATGCATGGTACATACGGATGCACAGCATAACGATTGTTGAAAGTCGAGGACAAAAATTGATACAGATCAATAGTTAATGGACCACTTATGATCCAATTAAAAATCAAAGGATAAAAATTGATAAATAACAATAGTCAGGGGACCAATTCTGAAATTAACTCTTTTAATTAGAGTCTTATTTTGATATTTATTGTATCTCCATCAAATGATGATAAAAACTAATTAAGTAAATACAAAATGTGAGACACAATTTTTATTCATTTTTTATTTTACCAATAAAATAAAGATACGTAGCAAGATTTTTACTAGTATAAAGATTACACATTTGAGAAAAAAAATACTAATTTTCATTTTCAACCTAAAATAGTTTGAGCTTTAAAATTTATAATTTGGAGTTTCTAAACAAGCCCCAAAATAGTTACTTTAATCTTTCTCTGTGGGTATTATCATATTTTTATCTTTATTTATTTTTACAAAATGGTGATATTAATTTTTCAATGAATAGAACCTTAAATTTGCCAAATGGATGGTAAGTCCTCAACGTTAAAGAAATGGCTTACACCCACTTAAAGATATTTCTTAATGTGCAATAGAACTTAAAAATCTTTCTTTTTATGTGTAATAGAACTTAAAAATCTTTCTTTTTATGCAATAAAACTAATAATGAAATAAACCTTCTCTATTAGTCGGTGGATTAAAATTGTCACCTTAAATAGGTCAAACTCAAAAACAGAGAGCGGAATAACTATATTGTCAAAAATAAAGTGACCAAAGTCATTAATTATATCATGGACTAGGACTTGCATTGTTCAAGAATTTTACCTCATTAATTTTTTCTTTTTATTCATTTTTTATACAATTAAAATTAATGTATAAAAAATACATCACTAAAAAACTTTAATTGAAATATTTTAAATGACATTCATATTAATATTTTCTTTTCAATTTTTAAATAAATTTACAAATACATAAAGTGATTATTTTAAGTACATAAATTTGATTTATAAAAATTACTGCTATATATACATATAAATTCATTACAGTTAGGGCAATTTTTATGTATCTACAATATTATTTTTATGTATTAAGTTTATTATTATACAACTAATAATACAAGTAAACTCTGATTCACGATATAATTTACAGATAAGAGTTGTCAAATTTCCTTTATTAGTATTTTTTATTCCTTACCAAAAAATGAAAAAATAAAAATAAAATGAAATGAAAAACGAACAGATACCCGAACCTTTCGGCTAGGAAAGAGCTTCGGCAAGCAGTTTTTCAGACAGGGAAGCAAAAGGAGGGCATGGCCATGGCGGAAGAGAAAGCCTAAATAAAGAAATTTTTTCGATAAATTAATAAAACTGAAAAATAAAAAATAAAAAATAAAAATAAACCCGCCACCCCAAGGCCGCCCCCCCCCCCCCCCCCCCCACCTTCTTCCTCCTATAATTCTCCCCTTCCATTTTCCCTCTCCTCCTTCAGTTCTCCTCGGAAAGCCTAACTTTCCTCTGTATAAACATTCATATCTGCATATACAAACGCTTTACGTTTTTGTTGTTTTTTCCCGATGCAGGCATTTTGTGTTGTTATAAGTCGGAAAATTTGAGGTTGACGCATGAATTGTCGAATTTAAATCCGTTTTGTTCTTGTTGTTGTTGTTGTTGTTTTCGAAGGAATTTCTCGAATTTTTTCTTGGCGGGGTTTTTTTTTGGGTGAATTTTCCCGCGCAATGTCGGCGGCGGTTAATCAGTCATCGGCGGCTTCCGTGGTGGAGGAGGTGATTCAACATCACGGGGAGAATTTGAGCAATGTTGATTTGTACGCTGCCAGGAAGGCTGAAGAAGCTTGTATGATCACTTCTTTTGATCAACTTCTATTTTGTCCAACGTTGTTGATAGAATGATAGTCGCCCCCATTTCAATTTCTCCTGGTTTCATTTCATTTGAGGTTTTTATGACATTGAATTCTATTGGGATAAAAGGAATCTGATAAAGTGATGTTAGTAAGTTGTTTAGTTTGTAGGTTAGGGACATTAATTCCCAAGGTTTTGTAGTAATTGTTAGTATTATCATTTCATATACATTGTTTGATGGTGTTGGGGTGCCTGGTTTTGCTATTTTGGTGGGATTATTGCAAACCTCAATGACTTCAATGTTTATTCTGCTTGATAAGATGTATGAATTTGAATGCTATAATGCAGCATTGAGAAGAAATGAAGCGGCTAGGTGGTTAAGAAAGACAGTTGGAGTGGTTGTGGGTAGGGATTTGCCATCTGAGCCTTCAGAAGAATATTTCAGACTGGGGTTGCGTAGTGGGATTATACTCTGCACTGTTCTTAATAAAGTTCGGCCTGGCTCTGTGCAGAAAGTAAGGTTTTGTCGTGCTTCTTGGTTTAATTAAATTTTATATCCATGGCAATCTCAATTTGGAGATTGTTAATGTTCATTCCTATTGCTCTTTAGATCGTTGAAGCACCTCCGGATTCTGCTACCCCTGATGGGGCAGCTCTTTCTGCATACCAATACTTTGAAAATATACGCAACTTCCTTGTGGTTGTGGAGGAAATGGGGCTCCCAACTTTTGAAGCTTCTGATTTGGCACAGGTAGGTAGTTTTTGGAATTTATTTATCACGTTTCACTATTCTTAATCTGTAATAAGAATCTTCAATTTGAATCAGGGAGGGAAAGCATCTAGAGTTGTGAATTGCGTACTAGCATTAAAATCATATTGTGAGTGGAAACAAGCAGGTGGAAATGGCTCCTGGAAATTACAAGCAAGTGGAAGTGGCTCCTGGAAATTTAGTGGGAATGTGAAGCCTACATCCTGTGGAAAGCAATTTGTTCTGAGGAATTCTGAGCCATTCATGAATTCATTTTCACGTAGTGCATCAATAGTTGAAAAAGCTCTTGCCAGTGGTGACCTTGGGTGTGATAATACCGAGACGGTTAGTTGGGCTTATTCTTTTAAGATAAATTTTCTACTATACATTATAGTATTGCCCACAAAGTCATCTAACACTCCAACATGCAGGAGGAATTGGGTTCCTTGCACATGCTTGTCAGCAAACTTCTTTCTGATAAGAAACCTGAAGATATACCACTTGTAAGTGATCTTAAGCTTATCCCTATTCCCTTATGGGGAAGGGAGAGTTGAAACATTGTGGACTATAGATTGCTTCTTTCCAGCTCATAACTTTTTTGGATAGAACATACTTTAATAAGTGCAAATGAATAATAGATACTCTTTGATAAGCAATTTACTATGCTTTTTGGACAGGTTGTGGGGAATTTGTTAAGTAAAGTTATGGAAGAATTTGAGCAACGATTATCTAGCCAGAATGAGGAGGTAGAGTTTAAATGACATTTAAACAACATTTTCAATATTTCTGCCTGTAAAGTTTCTCATCGATTCTTCAGCTTTTTAATGAGATTTTTCTGCATACAATCTACTTAGTTAATCTTGCGATTCCCAATAATAATGTTTATAAGGAAACATTAAAGTTCTTTTAGAATGGTGTCTTTCTACACTTTGTGATATGACAGATGAATACAGCTACTCAAGATATTTCTGTTCCAGCTTCTTCTGTGGTCGGGTGTTCACCTATAGATATAAAGGTAGATCATTTTGTAATCTCTGGTAGAACTTTTCATTAAGTTGCATTCAGCTTTTTTGTCTGTAAAGTTCTTTGAAATTCTTCAATTATTTATGAGATATTTCTGACATAAAAAATAATTAGTCTTAACTCAATAATGTTTAGAAGGATATGTTAAAGTCATCTAGTGTAATGTCTTTCAACATTTTCATGATATGACAGATTAAAACAGCTTCTCAAGATATGTCTGTTGCCGTTTCTTCTCCAGTTGAGATTCCTCCCTCAGTGATAAAGGTAGATCATTTTCTAATCTCTGGTAGTACTTTTCAGTTATTGTATATACCCTTTTTGGTTCCCATCTTTTTATCCTCTTCAATTAATTAACCCCTTCACTATAAAAGTGGCCACCTGCGGTCCTTTAGTTATTCAAGTTAGTCAGAGTTAGTTTATTATTGATTCCGTTAAATTTGGATGGAATAGTGGATAACTTTGTATAACTGAATGAATAACTATCATTAACTTTATCTTCCAATGTTAGTTCCTCAACTATGCAAAGTTAGTGACTATTAATCCTTCCATTAAGGAATTAGCAGCATTAATAATTAAGGGATGGATGAATTTGAACAGCTGAGGGACTATGAGTGGCTAGTTTAAGTGTGAAAGATTATAACAAACAGGGACCAAAAAGGACTGACCTATATCCAAGGGGAGAACTTGGATCCCTTTAAGCAAGGTCTTGGGTTAAAGCCTCATACATGGAGTAACAAGTATTAGGAGAGTGTCCCCCTCCCCCAAAAGGGGGTCCAATAGTAGCTTGACTTTGGATTAGTTAGAGCTCAATGTGGTTACAGGATACATGGAGGGAAAGGGGGAAGGGGATCATGATGTCACACAAAAAGGACAAAATTAGGAATAAATCCCTTCAGTTAAATTCTTTATTTTTGTTCCCATTTTTATTGCCAGTAGAGTTCCCACAAATTCTTCAACTATTTTATTTAATCTATCCAACATATGTTTGTAATCTATCTGGTATTTACAAAGAAGAAAAAAATTCTTAACCTCTCTTGCAACTCAGTAACACTTGTACAGAAGTGCTAAAGAACTTCAGGCTTAATGGCTTTCAATTTTCATGATACAACAGATGGACACAGCTTCTCAAGATATGTCAGCTCCAGCTTCTCAAGATATATCACTTCCAGCATCCCAAGAAATGTCTGTTCCAGCTTCTCAAGATATGTCTGTTCCAACTTTTTGTCCCCTTGAGCTTCCTCCCAGGGAGACAAAGGTAGACCATTTTGTTATGATTTCTTATATGAATCTTAGAAAGTTTATTGTATTTCATCGTTGTTGTTGTTATTTTAAGATTGAAGATGAAGCAACCTCCACACCAATTGATGAAGAAACTTTTCACCATGGAGAAATTAATGACAGTGGATCAGATAGACAAGCTGAGAAGCAGCAGATACTGGTCAAGCAACAGCAACAAAATATACAGGCATTTTGCTCGACTATGGAATTTATATGCACACACACATGCAGTTTGTTTTTATTTTTATTTTTATTTTAAAAGAATTCCAGAATCATATACTAATTTTCAAAATGTCCAGGATCTGAAATGTAACCTTCATGCTACAAAAAAAGAGTTACAAAATCTACAGATTGAATATCATGAGGAAGTCGACAATCTAGGTAAATACACACATTATTGCAAGTGTATTGAGATCATGACCAGGACTTAGCAACTTTGTTCTTGTTTTTTCATATTAGGTAAACACCTGCGAAGCTTAGCTCATGCAGCTTCAGGATACCAGAAAGTTTTGGAGGAAAATCGCAAGTTGTACAATCTAGTGCAAGATCTTAAAGGTAAATTCCTTTAGTGAAGATGTTATAATTTGATTTTCTCCACAGATGGTGACAATACCTATGATGTGGAATGTTTACAACATTTAACTTGAATAGGAAGTATCAGGGTGTATTGCCGGGTTCGACCATTCTTGCCTGGGCAACCAAGTCGTTTTAGCACTGTTGATCATGTAGAAGAGGGAAGCATTACAATAATCTCTCCTTCAAAAAATGGAAAAGAGGGAAAGAAAACATTCACTTTCAATCGCTGTTTTGGTTCATCTGCAGCCCAAGGTTGCTAAGGTCCCTATTTGCATTTTTCCCTCATAGATACTCAACTTGTCAGAATTTGTTCTTAAACTACCTTTTTCTCCCCATGTTTGTTATTACATCCTGCAGAAGAAGTATTTGTAGACACACAGCCTCTGATTCGATCTGTCCTTGATGGATACAATGTCTGTATATTTGCTTATGGTCAAACTGGATCAGGAAAGACCTACACAATGGTAAAGATATTTATACACACATGATGCTAGTGCTGCTTTATGACAAACATTGTTTTGATGGTTGAGTTAAGATTTGTAATTTTTATTCTTTTTATGTATAGTCTGGACCTGATGAGCTCACAAAGGAAACCGAAGGTGTCAATTACAGGGCATTAGGTGATCTATTTCTTATCTCAGAGCAAAGAAAGAACATGATGGCTTATGAGGTCTCTGTTCAGATGATTGAAATTTATAATGAACAAGTCAGAGATCTCCTTGCAACGGATGGTCTCAACAGAAAATATCCTTTCTACCTACTTCAAATCTCTTCCTTATCATAATCTTTTTCTTGTCAAGCCCATATAAGTTTGCTTAACTTCTAAACACATTAGAAATCCGTAACAATTCCCAGAAGGGTTTAAATGTACCCGATGCAAATATTGTACCAGTCTCGTCAACACCTGATGTCATTAATTTGATGAATCTTGGGCAGAAGAACCGTGCAGTGGGTGCAACAGCCATGAATACTCGCAGTAGCCGTTCCCACAGGTGCTTATATTTTCTTCTTTTCCACTCTTCGTAAGGGCTGTTCAATTTATTGATGAGTTATGCCCTTCTACTCTTTAGTCATTTCATATGGGTTGATTATTTTCTCCAGTTGCCTCACAGTTCACGTTCAGGGAAGAGATCTGACATCTGGAACAATACTTCGTGGTTGTTTGCATCTGGTTGACCTGGCAGGAAGTGAAAGAGCTGACAAAACCGAAGCAGTTGGTGATAGATTAAAGGAGGCTCAGCATATCAACAAGTCTCTCTCTGCTTTAGGAGACGTGATATCTGCCCTTGGAAATAAGAGTTCACACGTTCCCTACAGGAATAGTAAGCTTACACAGCTCCTGCAAGATTCTCTTGGTAAGATCTGGTCATCCATGATGATTAAAGGAAACACTTCAAATTTTTTTTCTTATTTCCTCTATTTGTGATGTTGAAACTTGGAATTTATGTTATTAGGAGGACAAGCCAAGACATTAATGTTTGTTCACATTAGTCCTGAGGCGGATGCTATTGGAGAGACACTTAGCACTCTTAAATTTGCTGAACGTGTGTCTGCTGTTGAGCTTGGTGCAGCCCGTGCAAACAAAGATGGCTCAGATGTCAAAGAACTCAAAGAACAGGTTCTACACTTGTCATTTAATCGTTTTAATGAGAATCCATTTGCGTGGGGTTTTAAAATTTAAATTTTACTGTCAATCTGCAAGTACTGGACTGCTTTTTCTTCTAGTTCTTATATCCAGATATTATGAGTCTTTTGGACCTTCATATGCCTTTTCTATTTATTTTTCCTTAATTAAGATTAAAAAAAAATGCATGCGCAGTCATGTATGAACATAAGTGGAGTTTTAGTAGGATAGTTTTACTCTTTTTTCATTGAATGAAAGTTGCAATATTTTCCTTTCCCTGCACAGATTGCTAGTCTAAAGGCTGCTTTGGCAAAGAAGGAGGGGGCAAATTCCATATCAAGTAGTCCAGAAAGGGGAATTCCATCCTATGGGTCTTCACCTTCACATTCCAGTTTAGGGGACACGCAAATCTACGATCAAGGGCAACTTACAGTGGATGTTGGTAATAACAGGGAGGTAAATATTCTTTTCTTGAGACACTGGGGTTTTTCCAATGTATTCATAGTATTCTCAATTGGTTTGCTTAGATGGGAATTACACACTCCTTGCTATATATAAACTTTTAGCCTGCAACTGGACATCAATATGATTATGGTTCATTTTACTCTAGTGCGAGTTTTTCATCAGCAGGCCTCCTAGTTATTCCCTCTTGAAAAAAAATGTTTATTATGTCTCTCCCTCTCTCTCTCTCTCAAATCCCATTCCCGTTTCTGTACATTTTTATTTTATTTTTTCTTTCAGGAGTGTCTAAATTACCTTCGACAAGGAAAATCAGTTCATTTCTTATATTTTCAAAATAGTTTCAAACAGAAATTGCAATTAACAACTGGGATTTGGAATTGTTATATGCAGGTTAGGAAAAGCTCTGCAGTATATGATAGAAGGCGAAGCTTAGATCCTAATGTCTTTCAGATGAACTCACCTACTTGGCAACCTGATTGTAGTAGTCCTGGATCAAATGGATATGAGAAAGATGCAGTTTCAGGTGAATGGGGTGACAATGCTATGGTTAGTAAGAAAAATGGTTTCAGTAGGGGTTATTCTTTTAGCAGATTGGACGAACGTATTAGACAGTCACCTGAGATGTTATATGAGAAACATTCTCCTGATAGTTCAAAGGTATATACCGAACAAAACATTGGAAAACATTTACCATTCAAGAAGGAAAGCCAAGACTACGATACTGTCCCTGTGGATGATTCTGACTTGGATGCTGCTACCAGTGACTGTTCTTCGGAGCATGATTCCCTTTGCCAATTGAGTATTCCAAAACTCTCTAGTATTCCCAATGGAGTGGCATCAAAGTTAAAAAGACCCAGTCCAAGGCAAATCAAGAGTCCAGAACTTAGGTATCATGCTTCATTGCTTCCATTCCCTTTTTTTTTTTTATTTTTTTATTATTATTTTTTTTTATTTTGTGAATTGTGAAAGTGATATATTCATACTCAACAAATCTCTACTACAACATCAGTTCATAAACGAATGGCAGTTACCTAATACCTAATTCTATCTGAATCTAGGAGCTCAATCCCACAACCATCGAGGAGACTCTCTACTGGGATGGTGTATTCATCTGCACTAAAACCTGGAAGACAAGCACCACCCAGTGCAGATGGGAAGAGAAGAACACCAAGTGGCAAGTGAGCAATATGGGCGTTTATCATCACTGATGAACACATCAAAGAGTGACAAGGATCTTGACAGGGAATTTCTGTCAACTTTTTTGTGTTATTTACTTGTTTACTGTGAATTCTTTAGCCATTTTTAGTGTGTGCCAGTACCTTCCAGTTTCCAGACACAAGTTTTTGGCTGGAAAAAAGATATTGAATTGAGGCCTAAACAAGGCAAATGTATGGAATAGAAGCACATATAATTCTGTTGTATATTGCGTGCAATTTGCTAGAGATTTGATTTGGCATTGATTATTTGTACACTGGTGAGCTATTTATTTGCCTATGGTTTTGAACATTTTTGGAGCAAAAAACAATTGCTCCAAAATTACTTGAGTAAATGTTTACAATGACCAAAAAGTGTCACTACTACTAGGAGCAAGATTTATTCAAGATACACCCTTGAATAGTGTTTACAAGTTTCCCTAGTCAACATTTTTAATATTTTGGAATTATAAAAATTTTCATTTTTCTTTGTGGATTTGTGGGGTTTGGAATTTAGTGTGCGATTTTTTGTTTCTAAAAGTTCTTTTTTTCAGTGTGGAATTCAACATCATTCCCTCCTGAGCGATTATTTTATAGATTATGGTCTACACAGGTGGATAATAAATAAAAAATGCATTATTTATGTATATAAAGTATATTATTTGAGTATTGAAAGTACATTATTTTGTATACTATCAAATAATGTATATTCAGTACACAAATAATATACCTTTAATATATTAAAAATGTACATTGTATATAAGGAAAATACATTATTTAAGTATTGAAAGTATATATTATTTTGTATATTATCAAATAATGTATATTCAATACACAAATAATATACTTTTAGTATATTAAAAATGTACTTTGTATTCATAGTTCACATAGCTGTGTTGTTTGTATGGACCATGGTCTACAGAAAAATTTGCTCTCCTTGTGGCCTACCTTGTTCCTTTCAAATTCAATAGTCTTGGGCATAGGCCCTATAGGCTCAATCGCAATTATTATACCATGGACCAAGGTTCATATTGCATTTTGAACCTGTTATAAAAATTTTGTACTTGTCGTTAATAGTTTTTGTACATGTAAACAAATTGAAGACACATAACATGGTAATTATAGACACATAATTATAGATATATAAATTGTTAACTGCATATACAGAATATGTTAACTGTAGACACATAAGATGTTAGTTAACATGTTATGTGTCTACAGTTAACTTATTATGTACATGCAATTAACAATTTGTATCTGTAATTATCATTTTATGTGTTTGTAATTATCATGTTATGTGCCTTTAATTTATTTACAGGTACAGAAACTATTAACTGCAAGTACAAAATGTATTAATTGCAGGTATAGAATCTGAAAGTTATTTTTGGAATAGGGTCCACAATGCAAGGTAGACTCTAGTCCATGATATAATTTGCCGTTCAATTGTTATATCATAGACCAGGATCTATCTTGCATTGTGGATCCTGATCCAAAAATTATGTGTCTGCAGTTGATATATTATGTACCTGCAGTTAACCATTTATGTACTTGTAAATAAATTGAAAGCAAATAACATGTTAACTACAGACATATAATGTTAACTGTAGACACAAAATATGTCAAATGCAAACACATATTAAAGTTATTTTGTACCCAAGTCCATAATGCAATGTAAACCCTAGTCCATCGTATAATTTCCATATAGGCAATGGGCTTAATCAATTATGTTGATTTAAAAAAGAAATATGCAAAATAAAATGTTATGAATAACTTATAATTTAATAATTTATGAAGAACAACCTCTTCAACCTATATATTGTATGCTATATTATAATTTCCCCCTCCCCTAATGAATTTTTCTACCTGCATGGCTGCAGCATAGATTGAATATATCATACCAGTTTATTTAATTTCTTACACTTACTATTTCAATTTTTAATGGACTAAAAAAGAAATGAATTTCTGGGAAATATATATATATATATATATATATATATATATATATATATATATATATATATATATATATATATATATTTGGTATTGATACCTTTACTTTAGTTTCGACACTGAAATAGTGCTTCTAATCTTCTAAGTATATATTAAAGTACATTTTAAAATAAATTAATTTGGAGTGTGAGTCCAAGTATCCTTTAACTAGCCTTTGCCCTTTGGTGTCATTTCTTCACCTAATCCAATAATCCCTTGACTGAAAAAGCTGCTTTGAGCAATTTTTTGAATTATAACATTTTGGAGCAATAAGCTGTTACAAAAACTAATTAATCAAACCGTCATTGATTGTTTAACCAAGTCAACAGCTAATAGTGGTAAAATAAGCTAAAATTGACTGATAGGTTAAGTACGTTTATTACCAAACAAGGCGTTAGAAAGGAGAAAAAAAAAGTTTATTATTGAGTTCAATTAGCTAATTATTTGAATTCAACCTTTTACTTTTGATATATTATGTACCAATTTATTCATAGGCAAATGGGTTGAACTAGTACTCAACATTTGAGCTAATTTGCATTGTGGTTGAGTATAATGGAGACACAAGATCTAAAAAAAAACACTAGTAAATCTAAGATTGTATCTACTCATAAGAAACATAGGTATGTAGGGAAATATCTTAAAATAATTGAAATTTTATGAGAGCAGACAGCTAGAGAATTGGAAAGAGAAAAGAAAAAAAGAGAGACAAATAATGGATGGGGAAGTTGTTGTATGCCCATCCAATCAATTTGTGATTATGTGGTTAAGTGCAGGCTTGAGTCCTCCCCAAGCATCCTATCCTCACTCTTATTAATAAATATTCTTATAAATAAATATAACTAAGCTAGTGGTAGTAGTAAATTTTATGTTTATTTGTCTACAACAAATTAACAACTTCAAATGAATGAAAGAGACACTACATACAAAATAGAGACAACACTCCCAAGAAGTAATTATTATTATTATTATTATTATTATTATTATTATTATTATTATTATTATTATTATTATAGTAATTCAATATGAAATTACAATTCTAAGTGTGGAATTGCAATTTCTAGGGAGGACACTAAGAATTGTAATTCCATAGTTCAAAGGAATTGCAATTCCCTCTAACTAAATTATGAATTATAATTTCATGGAGTTTGGTAGAAATAGAATTACAACTTCATCATATCAAAGAACAAAGTTTTATTGAAAAATGAAAAACGTTTTCCTCTCTAAATATCAAAGAAATATATATATTTTTTAAAAAAAATTATAATCTAATACCTTCTTGAATCTAAACACATTTTTAAGATAAAAATAAGAATGACAATAACAATTCAGGAATAAAATATACAATATATTTGTATGTGAAAGACTTAACTTTTTTTTTTTTTTTTTTGATGAAGCTTTATTATTTGCAGCCTCAAATTTAGGGGGTCCACGAGGACCACAAAACACCAAGTTGGAAGAGAGGGGTATCAATTTCCCAGCTTGGTCCAGACCCATATCAATCGGGTAGGCAAATCCCGTGTGGGTCCCAAAAAACACATGGCCATGTCAGCATATCCAGATTCCTCTTCCTCTACTTCTTCTTTTATGTTGTCCTCTCCTCTATCCTCAAAAGGCTCTCTGCAACCACCTTTGTTTTTTTCCATTGCTAATGTCAATTTTGCAATCACTTTTGTTACAACGTCTCTTCAATTTCAATGCTTATTATAGAACCTTATAAATTATATCACAATGGTCAAAAGGTAGACTTGAAATTACACTTTGAAAGCATGCATCACTACCCATGCTTATCCAAACTACTTGTAATTCAATGTAAAAGTGTCTTATAACTCAAAATAAGGTATATTCAATCCTAACTTTTATAGACTTTTAAATACTTTTATGAACTTTAAAAGTTTGGAGATATTCAATTCAAACTTTTAGGGAGACTTTAAAAGTCATACATGCGATATTCAATCAAGATTTTTAAAGAGTTTTTAAAAGTCGGGTGGTATTCGATGAAGACTTTTAAAAAGTCTTTAATAGTCATGTGGTATTCAAAAAGTTATGAACTTTTGTAGACTTTTTAATTTTAAGGCTTTTGTAGACTTTTCCTTCTCAAATATAAATGGTTGAAATCCAACCATCAACCCCAAGCTTTCAAAATTTTCTTTCTACCAACTCTGAATATTTTCTCTCTATTTAAACTTTATTATGTTTTTATCCCTATTTAAACTTTATAAACCTTATACATAAATTCAATAAATTATTTTTTTTCTTGATTATCCTATATTTTCTTCCTATCTAAACTCTACCAAATTTTTCTTATGGAGACGAAGGTGGGGAGAATACATGCTGAACAACATAAGGTGCGTTTGGGTTTTGCAGGGCTTTTCTATGTTGATAATGTGGGGCTTAGTGGTGGCTTGGCTCTGTTCTAGAGGACTAATAATACTGCGAGGTTGTTGAGCTTCTTTAAAAATCATATTGATGTCGATGAGAGTTCAAAGTTTCAATTCAGTTACAACTGTAAAAGATTATACGAGTGTATATCTCAGTATACTCTAAACTCTCATAACTAATAGGATACTATTATACTAACCAAAGACTTATTCTAATACCACACATTACAAGCTATAGGTTACAAAATAATAATAATAATAATAATACTATCACTCACACACCCCCTCAAGCACAAGGTTGGTGAGGAACCACGTTGAGCTTGTCTCGTAGAGCCGCGAACCGCGTTCCCGGGAGCGGTTTGGTGAAAATGTCAGCAAGCTGGTCTTTGGTTGAAACAAAATTAACCACAAAATCCCCTGTTGCCACTTTGTCGCGGACGAAGTGATAGTCGATCTCAACATGCTTCGTCCTAGCGTGGAAAACCGGATTAGCACAAAGGTATGTTGCTCCTAAATTATCACACCACAGATTGGACGGCTGACTCGTATGTAGGCCCAGTTCACGGAGAAGAGAGGCAACCCACGTAACCTCAGCTGCCACATCAGCTAAGGCTTTGTATTCTGCTTCAGTCGATGAGCGAGCCACAGTCCGTTGCTTCCGGGAAAGCCAGGAGATGAGATTGGACCCTAGAAAGACCGCGTACCCACTGGTGCTCTTCCTATCAACTGGACAGCCAGCCCAATCGGAGTCAGAATAGGCATGAATAGAAGTAGAGGAGGAAGCGGTCAGACGAAGTCCATATTCCATAGTACCCTTGATATACCGTAACACGCGTTTGACCATGCCCCAATGATCAGTGGTCGGTGAGTGCATGAATTGACATAAGCAGTTAACAGCATAAGAT